CTAATGTTTTGTATTTTTAGTAGAGACGGGGTTTCACCATGTTGACCAGGATGGTCTCGATCTCTTGACCTCGTGATCCACCCGCCTCGGCCTCCCACAGTGCTGGGATTACAGGCGTGAGCCACCGCGCCTGGCTGGCCTATATTATTATAAGTTACGTTTTCTACTCCATTTCTAAGTGACTACTCAGGGAAGATCCTCATCCTATTTGAGCTCTTTTTCTTTTTTCTTTTCTTTTTTTTGAGATGAAGTCTCACTCTGTCACCCTGGCTGGAGAATGATGGTGCGATCTCGGCTCACTGCAGCCTCTGCCTCCCTGGTTCAAGCAATTCTCCTGTCTCAGCCTCCTGAGTAGCTGGGATTTACAGGAATGCACCACCATGCCTGGCTAATTTTTGTATTTTTAGTAGAGATGGGGTTTCACTGTGTTGGCCAGGCTGGTCTCAAACTTCTGATCTCAGGTGATCCACCCACCTTGGCCTCCCAAAGTGCTGGGATTACAGGCGTGTGCCACCATACCCAGCTAATTTTTTATTTTTATTTTCATATTTTTGTAGAGATGGGGTTTCGCCATGTTGGCCAGGCTAGTCTTGAACTCCTGACCTCAACTGATCCACCCGCCTTGGTCTCCCAAAGTGCTGGGATTACAGGTGTGAGCCACTGCGACTGGCCTTATTTGAGCTCTCTTTCTACACCTATGAGATAAGGAAACCGTTGAGTCCTTCTTCCAGTCTCAACTAGCATGGGACATCAAATGGACAGACATGGCCTCTCCTTCATTTGTATTTATTCCAGACCGTTGCACACTTCTCTCACCCCGCTCATGGGTCTCAGAAGGGCTGGTAGGAGTTAAAGTTCCAAGAAGTTCCCCAGGCCAACAAGAGTGGAGCTGGGGGAAGTGAAGGAGGAGGTATTGGTGCTCTGAGGGTTGGAGTGGCACCCAAGCTAAGGGGTGGAGGTGGAGGATACAGGTCAGTTGGTCCTCATGATCATCCGGATCCAGTCCACATACTTGCACACATAGGTGTAGACTCCAGGGATGCCATCTTGTCCACAAGGCCCCACAGACCCCCAGGACACCAGACCTTGAAGGACTCCGCCACACACCAGGGGGCCTCCAGAGTCCCCCTGGAAGGGAAGAGGAGAAATACTGTCTGAACAAGGGAGACATCTTATTCCTGTTTTCCTCCCCAACCCTCCAACCCAGTCCTGGGTCTTGGGGAGGGCTCCAAGCTTGGTCATCAGACAAAAGAGTACAATCACTTTCCCAGAGGACAATGTCAATGGCTAACCAATAGAGAAGAGCCACTGTCTCTAGGGGTCAATCCCAGGGAAGAAGGGTGAAGCTCCATAAAAAACAGAGGTTCTCCCAAGGGCAATGACTGGGGCCCTGACCAATGAGGAGAGAGAGCACTTCACCAGTGACCAATCCCAGGGGAGGAGGGTGGGACTCCATAAACGGTGGAGGGTCTCTCAATGTGGACAGTGGCTGGGGCTCTGACCAATGCGGGGAGAGAGCACCATCACCAATGACCAATCCCAGAGAAGGTGGGCAGGACTCCACGAAGAGCACAGAGTTCTCTCAAGGACAATGGCTGGGTCCCTGGCCAATGAGGAGAGAGAGCACCATCTTCCAGTCTCTCTCAGTGTGGGACAGCACCAACTGGAGGACGGTATGGGAAAGACTTAGAGCCCCAGAAACAGCTGGTTCCCTGTCTGGGCCCCCAGGCCTCTCTGTCTCTTTTGCTGCTTCTCTCTGGTCTTGCCTTCTCTGTTCCCTTCCTCCCTCCCTCTCTCCTTGACCCTCCCCCTCTTCCGTTTCCTGGTCTTCCCTCCTATTCCCTGTCTCTCCCTTCCTTATCCTGGGCCTCCTCTCCATTTTTTTTTTTTTNACAGACTCTGTTGTCAGGCTGGAGTACAGAGACAATCTTGCTCATTGCAACCTCCGCCTGCCAGGTTCAAGCGATTCTCCTGCCTCAGCCTCCCAAGTAGCTGAGACCACAGGCATGCACCAACACGCCTGGCTAATTTTGGCATTTTTAGTAGATTCAGGGTTTCACCATGTTGGCCAGGCTGGTCTTGAACTCCTGACCTCAAGTGATCCACCTGCCTCAGCCTCACAAAGTGCTGGGATTACAGGCATGAGCCACCGTGCCTGGCACCTCTCCTCCTTTTTGACCCCATCTCTCTCCAGCATCCCCTTTCCCTGATTCATCCTCCATCACTTCCCCTCCTGCTTCCAGCCTCTCCCCTTCCCTTCCTGTCCTGGTGGCCACACACACTGCCTGCACTGGCTCACCTGGCAGGCGTCCTGCCCCTTCACACCACCTGCACACACCATGTTGCTCGTGATTCTCCCACGGTACGCGTCACTGCAGGTGGCATGGGAGACGATGGAGAGGTTGAGGCACTGGAGCAGATCCGGGAATGGGTCTGGAGAGGGAACATCATGCTGCAGGGTTCTCTACAGCTCCCCACTTTGAGGCCATGTCCCTCCCCACTGGATGTGGCCCATCCAAGTCAATACCACTGCCCCCCGCCAACCTGTACTACAATCCTGACACCCCCAAATTACATATTTATGACTTAATTTCATATGACTCATGACCCCAGATGATTGACAGTCTTTTTGACCTTTGACATTTGACTTTGAGTGGCAAAACTCAAGACCCTCCTTGTCTCTCCAGCCTCAGAGACAACAAATCCAGACGTGACCCTCTTCAATGACAGATACTGTGACCTTTGACCTTCTATCTTATTATCTTATGATCCCAGCTTGATCTCATATCTTCTGTCTCCTGACCCCATGTCCCTGTGTTCACCTTAACCTCCAGACTCGGCTCTGTGTATTCCAAACCTCACTGCTTCCAACTCCAAAGTGTCCTCTGATCCCAGTTTATTCAACCCCAGGCTCCATGACCCCAGCCCTTGGCCCCCACACCCCAGATGCTATGATCTTCAATCTCAGATATGTGATTTTTGATAGAATGCCAATTTCCATCCTCAGATTCTGACCAGATTGTACAAGCTCTGGATCCCATGACCTTAATTCTACAGTGACCTCTGACCCCAGAGACCATGATCCACAAAGCCCAGATCCTATTTCTATATAAATATGCCTTTTGCTCCTGTAGGAGGACCCCTGACACACTCTGACCTCTGACCACATCTCTGACCTCTGATCCCTGACTTCATCCCTTAACTCCTTTGACTCCCAAGACCCCAGTCCACCACGATCTCTGATCCGGACCCATGCCCCTGACGTTCCACCCCACACCCTGGCCCTTTACCCACCCTTCCTCTGAGGTATCATGATTCCACCTCTCACCCTGCATCCCAGACTTGTACCTACCCTGACCCCTGACCCCGACCCCAGGCCCCTTACTCCATGGGTGGTTGGTGATGCCCCAGCCTGAGACGTGGCACTTGGTGCCAGTGGTTGCACAGTCACTGGGCAGGGGCAGAGGCTGAACACTGCTCGTTATGCGGGCAGGCAGGCCCAGCCGCAAAAGCCGGAGGTCGTGCTCGTGGTTTCTCGAGGCTCCCTGGTAGCCGGGGTAGGTCACGGAGAAGCTGCTGCGCCGGATCTGCTCGGTCCAGTCGAGCTTGCTGAGGCTGTGCTCCCCCAGGCGCACCCAGTACCTGCTGCGGGTGGCAGCGGCTCAGCGAGTGGCAAGCGGGCAGCCCCCACCTCGCACCCCTCCACGGACACACCCAGGTCCTCCTGCCGCTCCCCACTGCTCTGCCTCTCACTGTCCTCTCACCCGTGCCTCCCATTCTGCAAGTCTCCCTTGCAGGCTCTCATTCCTGACCTCTGTCACCCTCTTTCCGTCTTGGGTGTTCACTCTGTTTCTCCCCCCATGCCCTGCATCTGTGTGTGTCTCTCTCTCTCTCTTTTTTTTTTTTTTTCTGAGATGGAGTCTTGCTCTGTTGCCTAGTCTGGAATGCAGTGGCACAATCTTGGCTCACTGCAGCCTCCACCTCCCGGGTTCAAGCAATTCCCCTGCCTCAGCCTTCCAAGTAGCTGGGATTACAGGCACCTGCCACCACACCCAACTACTTTTTGTATTTTTAGTAGAGATGAAGTTTGACCATGTGGGTCAGGCTGGTCTCGAACTCCTGACCTCAAGTCATCTGCCTGCCTGGGCCTCCCAAAGTGCTGGGATCACAGGCATGAGCCACTGCTCCTGGCCTCGATTTCTGATTCTCTTGGCCGGTGAAGCTCACGAAGGCAGGGACATTAGTGGGCCTTGTTCACTGCCTGCTTCCCACGACCTGGCATGGAGCATGTGCTGTCCATGCTGCTGACTGAATGAATGAGTGGGAGATGAATGGTCTCTCTCCGTCCTGCTGCTGGCCCTCTCTGTCCCTGAGTCTCTTTGTTTCTTTGCATCTAAGCTCCCCTTTCACAAAAAAGTTCCGGGCCAGGCACAGTGGCTCATGCCTGTAATCCCAGCACTTTGGGAGGTCAAAGCAGGAAGAATGCTCGAGCTGAGGAGTTTGAGACCAGCCTGGGCAACATAGCGAAACCCTGTCTCTGCAAAAAATTTTAAAATTATCCGGGTGTGGTGGTGTGGAGCTGTAGTCTCAGCTCCTCGGGAGGCTGAGGTGTGAGGATCACTTGAGCCCACGAGGTTGAGACTTCAGTGAGCCAAGATAGCATTACTGCACTGCAGCCTGGGTGACAGAGCAAGACTCTGTCTCCAAAAAAAGAAAAAGAAAAGAAAAAAAATTCCAAAGCATCAGTCTGCTGAGGCCCAGAGAGGCACCAGGCATAATCTCTGAGGTTGCACAAAGAGCTTGGGTCATGTTGGCCGGGCACAGTGGCTCACGTCTGTATTCCCAATGCTTTGGGAGACCAAGGCAGGTGGGTCTCTTGAGGCCAGGAGTTTGAGACCAGCCTGGCCAACATGGCAAAACCCCATCTCTACAAAAAATACAAAAATTAGCTGGACGTGGTGGCGGGTGCCTGTAATCCCAGCTACTTGGGAGGCTGAGGCAGGAGAATCACTTGAACCAGGAGGCGGAGGTTGCAGTGAGCTGAGATAGCACCATTGCACTCCAGCCTAAGCTGTCTCCAAAAAAACAAAAAAGCAAAGAGTTTGGCTCAGACATGGGCCCAGGGCCCAGACTGGGTCATGGGATGGCTGGGAAGTGGCAGTCATCACATAGGAAAGAAGGGGTACATGCAGTAACAGGAGGGGCAGGTGGGCAGTTTCCAGGATCCTCCCTGGCCCTCCACCCCCCACACCTCACTCCACCCAGCACCACCCCAAGCCCACTGCTAAGGAAGTTCCACTCCTGGTCTAACCTCAGCAGACTCTCTTGTTGCAGGACCAGCTTCTTCCCCATGGGCACTGCCCTCCCTTGTGATCCTACCCTCAGCACTTGCGTTCCCATAGTCCTCCCTTAACCCACGCTAGGAAGGGGCTCAGCCTGGGGCTTACCTGCCACTGCAGTGAGCCGCTGTGAGGACCCACCTGCGGTCAATAAGGACACCCCCACAGTGCAGTCTGGTGCCCTCAAACAGCCCCACCTGCCACGGCTGGGAGTTGCGCCCACACTCGGTGCCATTGTAAATCTTCGATGTGGTTGCCTGGCTGAGCCCTGGGGACAGACAAGGGCACGGGTCAGACACAGGAAAAGATAGTGCGATAGAGAGACACACTCACAGAGAGAGAAACAGGCAGGAGAGAAACAGAGAGAGACCCAGACATGGTGGCGGGTGCCTGTGATCCCATCAAAATCCCTATAGAAAAAAACCGTGAAATACCAAAGAGAGCAGGGAGAAAGATGCTTACACTTGGGAGGGAAATGGCGAGACAGAGATTCAGAGAGGGATGGAAGGGAAGAGGGATCAAAAGATAGGGGAGGCTGAGGTGAGCAGTGCCGTGAGAGCTGCAGGTAAATGGAGGCACAGAGAAAGCCCCTCCCCTCCTCGCCACCAGGCTGGGGGCCAGAGCTGAGATGGGGAGAAGGGGCCTCCTCTTGGGGGATGGAGGGACCCAGCCCCAGTC